AATAATTTAAATATTTGAGACTAACATTTATAACCATTTTTAATGTTTTGTTATGAATTCGTTGGTGACGTTTATAATGGATAATTTAGAGGTAAAAGTTTTTGGATACTTTATTTATATTATACGTAGAAATGTTCATTCTTGGATAGGGTATGTACTTTTTCGCAATCAGGTAATTTCATATATGTCCTTTTTACCGAGTTTAAAGATTCACAAAATTTTCCTGCATTTTCATGCAAATTTTTGTAATTTATGAGAAAATAGCAGTGTAGATGGATAAAGTCAAGAGTGTGTGCAATGCCATTTTTGTGCAATTCTGGGATGTTTTTTTTAAGTAAAACTAAGTCGACGTGTACATGGTTACTGTGTATGTGCGATTCTGAAAAACGCGGCAAGGAGTTTGCGATTCTGCACTTTTTCCCAATTTTGCAGTTAATATTTGTCATGATTAAGCAGTTTTGTTCCATAAAATTTCTAGCATAAGTGTATTTCGGCTAGCAGATTGTTGGAAAAAGTGTTGAGTAAATAAAAAGAAAAGAAACATGTCTTTACTTCATGAAGACAAAATGGTGGCGAAAAAAAATAGAGGGTTGCTGTAGCAGAGTTGGTCGCCAAATTTTCGCCAAGTTACCATAATCCAAAGATTAACCTTAATTTGTTTTACATCATTTCACATAGTTGCTTACCTTCTTGGTTTCTTAACATTTAAAACTAACAAACAACAACAAATATATATATATTGTTTAGGTCCCCCCCCCTATGATGGGGAGAGTTGTGGGAACAGCTGCATTTATATTCTGCAAACCGCTGCATTGATATTTTCCTTTGTTAGCAACTTAAAGTTCAATATGATTAGCAAAACACTTAGCCCTATAAATATTAGATTAGTATTATATGTATGGATATAGGTGTTGGAGATGAGAAACTGTTTCTTAATTTTCCAGTTATTCACTAAATTACCCCTAAAATCTTTAACAATATGGTCTTCAGGGGAATTTTCTGATCAAAATGCTTCATATACACTATTTTAATGAAAAATAAAGAATATTTCACAATTTGTGCAACACTAGGCTATCATTATTAATGATATTCTACATTCTCTCATTATATCACCCATTTAATTAAATGAACTTTCAGCAATGAGCACTTAAGCCCCGTTCACAAGAACAGATTCGACCGGTAGCGAAAGCCGGTTCTTCCAACGTGTCCCGTTCACATGGGACAAGTATTAACTGCCTCACCGAATTGTAGGTAGAACTTGGTTGAATGTTCCTTACCTCTCGGGAGCAGGGCAAATGGGGAGATTTCCCGTACTATACTGCGTGGTTTTAGTTACTGCTCGCTGGACTGTCAGCGAAACAATCGCGCTGATAGATATCTGGGGATGTGATAGCATCCCCCCAAAAATTAGATAGAACTGTACAAGATACGCAAATTATAGACAAATACAGACAAGGTTATATTGATGCTAGGTATTCCAGAAATATCGTTCAAATTAAAACTAAAGTTAAGACAAGTGCATATCGGCTTCAACGCGACAAGGGACTCGGTACCTTTTGAATGATTTTTTTTTTTTTTTAATTTATGCATTTTCATCTACTTTTTATGAATATTATTAAATGGTTTTGTGAGACAAAATAATTTTAAGCTGAAAAAAAGTTTTTACTAGTATTTTTTTAATTTAAATTTTTGAAGAAAAATTTTACAATTAAAATGTCTTTCTTCTACAATTTTCAATGTCTCCCCCCCCAGTTTTTTTGTTGTATTTATTAGACTGTTCTTAATAACTTCAAGGAATGATTTTGCAATTAATTAATTAGTTTCTGAGGGAAAAAAATACACTTTTATCTAAAATCTTTAAAACAAATATGATCTCAGTCACATTTTCAAATAATTTTTTCCTTTCAGTATTTTGCAAAACCCATCCTTGTTTCTATAAAGTATATAATTTTAAATAAGCAGTAAAAATAATAAAAAATTTAGTCCATACCTGTATATGTTTTAGGACTTTAAGTAAAAGGATTTATTGAAAAAAATGCAAAAGGTTTCTCAGTTTGCATTTGCAGTTTAAAGAATACAAACTGTCTAAATAGACATTTAATGATTTCAAATTTTTAAAATTTTATTACTGAATTTCAGTAATAAAATTATATATATATATAAATCAAACCTAGTGCTATTTATTCAATTGGTAAATATAAACATAAATTACAAACCTTTTTTTAAAACCTTATGTGGCCAGAAAAATTGCAAGAACTCATAAAACGCAAGCAGAATTTTTCTTTACCTGTTTTTGTTTTGTAAAACACGTTCAAAACAATTTAATACATTAATTAATTATAATACTGTTGCATGCGTATGGGTTTGTAATAGATTGATAATAGATCATAAATGATTGTCATTGCACTCAAATCCGATGATAGCTTAATTAAATTTATTTTATCAACAGAAACACTTCAAAGTTCTGGAATTTTCCACAGAAATACTCGTACAAGTGTTTAGAATATCACTAAGTATAATCAGTAATTATGCTTCAATCTAATAAGAACGTTAAACACAACGGAATGCAAAACGCATCTTAAGAGAAAGTTAACTCAGAAATATCTCCAATCTAACGCTGAACTAACAATTGGCAACAATAACAACTTATACATTCAAAAGTCGTTAATTCGGACACCCATAATCTGGACCTCAATGCTAAAAACTTTCTGCGCATGCGCCGCGTTGACACATGCGCATAGGCGTTTACGCGTGCATGTAAGACCTTTTACGTCTGCGCATATGCGTGTGCGCAAGCACAGAATACGTTTTCGCGTGCGTGTTTTGTGTATAACGGACGGTATAATCTAAAATTATCTAATTATCTATTTCAGTTAATGTTGATGATTGCGTTGTTCCTTAATTTTCGAATTTGATCAGGCTTATTATTTTTTGCAGACTGTAAGAGCAATACTATAAAAGTAAACTTGAACTTTCAATTATGTCAAATAGAATTTCCGATTCTGGAGCTCCCAAAGGATCGTACAAAACGAAAGTATGTTTCGATGTCCATCAAACAAAAAGTAGAATTGCTGCAAAAAATGGATAAAGACATGAAGAATGTGACAGAGAGGTTAGTGAAAACGAAAAAATTTCGATTGACAAGTTAGTTGGTATTCTCGGCACAGCAATTAACGGGACTTGAACAGTGGAACTTTGTAACTGAACAAGAAATTATGTGTTTATAGAATTAAAGAGAAAGTATTATCACATAAAATGAAGCAACTTAAACAACTTACATTGAAAGAAATGTTTAATAAAGTAAACAAATAAGTATTAAGCTTTTTTTTTTTTTTTTTTTGTAAATTTTGATACCCTTTAGATCATAATTGTTCTTTATTTCATAAATTACGGTTTCGTATTTTTAATTTTAGAATTTCTGCATGCCATCTTACGAGATTTAAACTGATGATCTATAATCCGGAATCGCCGAAGTCCCGACGAGTCCGGATTAACGACTTTTGACTGTATAGCATAAATAATGTCATAAAAATAGTGTGGTGTAATGAGATTATTACTTTGAAACCGATGTTTCGAATTGATGCCCAAGAAGAACCAATATTTCTCATTCTCCTTCATTGCACATTTTTCAAAAAAGTAAAAAAAATCATCCAATTAATTTCCTGTATCATTTTTTTAAATGTGAAACGTTTGTTTTATAAGCTGTAAAAATGTTGCAAGTTAGTAACCGATATATTTTTAGATATGAAATTTTAAAATTAATGGGTGTCAAGACGTCTAAAAATATGAAAAATTTTCAAAAATTCTCCCAAAATATTAAAAAAAAAATTACGCTAAAATTTAATTAAATTTTTTTTTCCTCCACAGTGTGTTATGGTGCAAGCTATAATATTCTGAGATTCTCAGTTTATTTGCTAATATTTGTAAAAAATTGTTTCAACTTTAAATTTGAAAAAATCTAATCCTCTAAAAATCAAAAGTGTGATACCACATCTACAAGCAGTGTATGTACAAAGTTTGAGTTCTATATCTTATCGGGAAGCAGTTTAAAAATCCATGACCATCTGTTAAAAATAGAGACAAGCACCAAGAGTGAACTAAATTACAGCTTATAAAATAATAAATAATAATTAAAAAGCATATATTTTTCAGGAACCAGTTGCGAAAGTCCAGATTACAAAATTAACAACAGTAAACAACATTAAAAATGTGTAAACAGTATTAGAAATCTGCCGATTCGGAGACGTGATTGTTCACAGAAGCTTAGGTGTAAAGGGGAAGGAAGACGGAGGTCTTCTGAATGGGTCCTAAAGACGAAACTCTTTCATGTCTCCTTTTTCTCCCCTTGCTAACGGCAGCTGTGCGAAGGAGTGTTGCATGTGAACGGGGCTTTAAAAGCAAATTAAGATAGATTTAGTCTGCTTAGTTATAGGATGCTTTTACTTCCACCTCTTTTAGCCTGAATGTTATTGCACAAAACTTTACAGTATCAGTTTCTTTTTTTGTTTCAGTGTAAAGCAAACAGCACACAAAACTTTTCAGTATAAGAAAAATTTCTTGTCTGACTGACCAATTAAATGAACTATGAGCAATGGGTACATGGAAGCAAAATAAAACAGATTTAATCATTTGTGTCAATAATCTGTATTTCCATCTTCTTTTAGTCTGAATACTTCAGCTTACTGATCGATTTCTCTCAGTAATCATACCTCCTGTCCAATTTCTGTCTCCTGTCCAATTTAGTCTAATTTTATTTTATTTTATTTATTTATTTATTTATTTATTTTTTTAATCTATGAAATCCTTCAATGATATATTTTTCCTAGAAAATGAGAAAGATAATAAGACTACATTACAAAAAATTCAGACACTCCAGATTTGAGCAGGTTAAAAATCTGTAATTCTGGCTACATCTGGATTGCAATCACTCCTGCAATAAGAAATAAAAATCACATTATTGTTGGGGGAAAAAAGGATAATATGAAAAGACAGCTACCTACATCACCCATAACATAAATTATTCTCTCTTTTAAAAGTCTGGAATAAATATCATATGCTTTTCCTTCATCTTTTGAAATAGCCAGGGGGATCCGAAGGAAGTGCTTGGAGCTTTGATGAAAACTATTTTCATGTCTGACAGTTGCAGAATATGCACCTAAAAGCTGTACAAAGAATTTCAGTATATTATGAAATTATTAATATGGCATAATGAAAACAAAAGATGGAAGGTTTTGTAGTCTTGACTAGTGATATTCAAACTGAATTATAATTTAGAAATAGCAAGAATCACTAAATTTACTGCTTTTATTTTTAGCTATCAAAATGAGTTGCTACTTTGAATAATAATAACAGAATAAAAAAAAAAATTTTACAAATCACTACTTGTTGCCATTCAGCATAAAAAATATGAATATTAACTGTCTGCTTATGTGTAAAAAAAAAAAACGGTACTTTTCCGTTTCGCCGGCGCAAATTTCGCCAAGCAGACTTTATTGGCAACAACATACAGTATACACATAGAAAATATTTAAGACATTTTAGTTCTAAGAATTCTTTTTTTGAAGACATAAACATGTTAATATCGCTTAAAACTTTATAAAAAGCCAATAAATAAAGACAATAAATTTGTAAAAAGACATTAATTTAAGAATTTACTATGCTTTCAATTTAAGAATTTACTATGCTTTCATGGTTCAACATCCTAATTCGCCGTTCATATCACGTGACCCCAAGCGATCTCATCTCACGTAAACTACTCTACAAAAATCTAATGCTCTCAGTATTATCTACATTAATTTCAAGTTAAATCTTAATTTGGAACACAAGTTTAAATGCAAGAAATATTCAATGCGTACGAATAGCTTACTCAAAATTTTGTAAAAACTGCAGTGCTTTACTTCACTAATGCATTCTATTAGAATTGATGAATTTAACCCTTGACTTTCCTTTTCTATATTTTCGGCTTCGGGTAAGTGCTGTGATTGCATCCTAATTGACTTAATTACTGAAAATGGCCTTAGACATAAAACTGAACTATCTGATAAAAATTCTATGTAATTATATGCCAGTATTGAAAGAAACAATCAATCTGATAAGAAAAAGCTGCGACTTGTTTTGAAAATGAGGCGTAAAAGGTTACCAGCGAGAATATTCCGTTTGACATCGGTTGTACCATTATTGACGACTTTATCGCTTGCGCCGGCAAAACGGAAAAGTACCAAAAAAAACCATTATGCTACCAGCATATCACAGAGTCTTAAGAGACTATTAAAAATATTCTAAAGTATTCATTTATTAACTTAAGTAAAACATCACTCATATGAATAATATGTCATTCTTCTTTAATAAGTCTAACTACATAAACATATATTTTTGCTAATTCTATAAATTTTTTTGTTGCCACTTCTAAGAAACTAAACTAACAATAATGATTAGTGGCCAGACAACATTAAATAAAAAATTAAAGGCAAGTAAGTAAAGTTAAATTGAAGCACGTATAGAATAAAAACTACATTCATTTGAAATCCAACATTAAACAACAAAGCGAAGTTAATTTTACAAAATAATTAAACACGTGCAAAAATATAAGTATATATATGAAGTCATGTGAAAAGTTCTGCAGTTTTTTATTGATAAATATTGATTTTTATTGATCTTTCACTAATAAAGTGAAAGATCACACACAGATAGATTATTGGACACACAGATAGATTATTTATTGGGCTAATTTATTGGGATTAATAAAATCCCAATAAATTAGCACATACAGCAGTTATAAGATTGCAACCACAGGATGTTTACATTCATATAAATCCTAAATATGAACTATATCAACACACAATAAAATTCTTTTTAAGTCATTATTAAGAAATGAGCAGGAGTCAATACCCATCTGTATGCACCTTTCCAGTTTCTGATTCATTCAAAGCAGGTGTGGAATTCTTACTTAAATTTCTGTGCAATAAATAAAGTATGATGTTTAAGCTTACAAATTGAACAAGTGATCTTTGACCTACATTCAGATATTTTATGAGATAGGAATTAGTGATTTAAGCTGAGTCTGCATTTCTCAATAACATCAAATCTCTCAGTATGACTCATATCCTTGAATGTCATAAAAAAATGTGTATGGCACATATGTTTCTGCACATAACACAAGATGATTTTTAAAAAGTTATTCAAACTAACTGTGAGATATTGCAACTGATGAGACAAATTTGTTTACACCTTTAAATGGTATATTTTGCAATAACTTTTCTAATGTCTAATTCATTTTAAATTGCAAAAATATTTCAAATTCTCAAACATTATTTGACATGAAAGTTGTTTCAAATTATTTTCAAGATTCTGAATGATAACATTTATTAACAATACATCTGAAAGTTAATCACTATCCGAATTTAATAATTTCAATGGCTATATATTCTTTTTATATGATTTACCATTTCTCAATGTTCTTTAGCTGAACTCTTGACCAAGTTTGAGATAGTTTATAATGCTTTGAACATGTGTATCTACCATTATTCTTTTGTTCTTGGAACGGTCTTCTAATACTTTAAATAATGACATCTGTGCTGTCTGAGGTTTTAACTGAACTTGGCCTTGTAATATCTTGTTATTTAACATAGAACTATATTAATTATTGAAGTGGCAACGCCATATTTATAGGATGTAACCATTGCTCAGCAACAGAAGATATTGTTTAAAAATGATGATTCTGAAGTTTCACCAGCTAGTAGATGTATGAAAATTTTGACATTTAAGATTTGAATACAAAATATCTAAACTAAAAATAAAATTTATGTTTTACTAAGAAGATTATCTGTTTTGTCAATTACTGCAAAATACATTAGTCTTATTAAACTGGTCTTACAAAATAAACAAAGTCTTACAAAACAGTGCTTAAACATTTCTGAGAATCTGTTAAATGAGGATTTTTAGATATTAGATTATTAAATGTAATGATTATTAAATGTAATAATCCACTACTCATACAAATCAGAGAATTCCAGTAGGAAAATTTGGGAAAAACAAATACTAGGACTTTTCAAATTATTAACTCTTAGTTCATTTTTTTAAATTCTTGAATATTGAGTAATGAGGTTTAAAAGACTTACCTGATTTGTCTCACAATGTACTTCCAGTTCATGAATCAAGCATCATTATGAAATTTTTTTGTTTAATGTAATTTTTGTTTAATGAAATTTTTCTGTTTTGGATCAAACTTTATCTTTAGCTTTTCCATAATATTCATTATGCAGTTCTTTCAAATCTTGAAGCAGAGTTTTAAAGAACCTAGCTTCTGCTGCAAGTTTGATTATTAGTACCAATTCTTCAACAGCATACAAAATGGCTAATGTGAATCTTTATTTTGTAATTTCTATGAAATTTTTTTGTACCAATAAGCTTAGTTTTTAAAGCAGCTTTCTGAATGTTCAAAGTAGGGAGAGCCATTCTTTTTCCAGCTAGATGAACTAAATGTTGCAAAATTAAGAGGGACATGGTGCTACTAGTAGCCCTTCTAGAATCTTAGTCCATTTTGGGTAGCATTAACCCTTTGAGGGGTGGTATATAAATTAATTTAAATTGTGGTAAAAATTTTAAATGAACTGTAACTTAGGACACAAAATTGAGACTTCCAAAAAATCTAGAGTGAAATCCTGAATTTTGAGGGCTGGTATACATATTTTATACTGATGCCCCTCTACGACATTTTTTTCCCAGGCCAATTGTTAATATTTTTTTTTCCATCTATTTTTGCGAACTTTTGATGTGCATCTTTGGAGATGGGTGCTTGAGTACAGTTATGTAAGTCTGAAGGCAAAAAACTTTTAAAATTTCACTAGAAATTTAAAATTAGAAAATAAAATTTATGTTTTTCACACTTTGATGATGCCACCCAGCTGAATATACTTATGTAAAATATGGGTAAAAAGATTTTAAAAGTGATTTAAATTCAATATTATTATTTTATGAAAAATTTTAGCAAATTTTCATGCAGAAACCGTATCATGCTGTAATTGAGCTAGCATAATGTTACAAGGAAATGTTACTCAGGCGAAAAAATTTTTAAAAAATTTTTAAATGAAACACTATGATTCAGCTGAAAAATTATGTTGCATTTTTGAAGTTATTATATTTTATGCTTTAGGTAACATATAAAAAGAGTATGCTTCATGCTATGATAGTAAGAATCACCCCTCTACACACACTTTTGATTATCAGGCCCAGTAAGGGGCCCTTTTTAATTTTTTGTAAATATAAGTTGTAATATATTTTGTTCAAGAAGAAAGGTTGTTAAACGATTTTATTATTTGATACACCTCAAAGCTCTTATTTCAATCAAAACTTTAAAAACTCAATGGCACTTTTTTTTTTTTTTTTTTCTTTCCAAAGATAAATGTTTTGCATTTAAAACTGGCCTTAGAAATATTTCCCTCAATTCACCAGCTGTGAAGACTAAACCACATACTTGTATCCTAATCCAAGATGAAAATTTTTCTTGTATTCCCTAGTCTCTCATCTGAAATTAACAAAATTAATTTTAATGTTGCCTAAAGAATAAAAGCATGCTTTCAAACCAGCAGTTTTTCTATTGCACTAAGAAATGGATCTAAAGTGCATTTCAATTTCTCGTACTTTTAGAGTTTTTCATTTGTGTGATGGCATGTCCCTTTGTGAAGATGGCACGAGCACTGCGTGACAAATTTGTTGTCCATCACCTGTCATTTTCACTGCATTCTAAGATTTTGGAAAACCCGAAACAAAAGGTGTGTTTGGGAGCTAACAATGCCACATTTAACCTCTACAGTTGTGTAACGTTTTTTGACGCCAGACGGGTCTTTCTCGTGGGAAAGGGTGCAGTGCTGAAATTAAAATTTTAGCTAAACAGAGATGAATGAGAAACTCGTGTATTGTAACAGGGAATAAAACAAAACTAATAACAGTCAAAAGTCGTTAATCCGGACTCGTCGGGACTTCGGCGATTCCAGATTATCGATTTTTCCGGATTACAGATCATCAGTTTAAATCTGGTAAGATGGCATGCAGAAATTACAAAATTAAAAATATGAAACCGTAATTTATGAAATAAAGAACAATTATGATCTAAAGGGTATCAAAATTTACAAAAAGAAAAAAGCTTAATATTTATTTGTTTACTTTATTAAACATTTCTTCAATGTAAGTTGCTTCGTTTCATGTGATAATACTTTCGCTTTAATTCTATTAAACAGACATAATTTCTTGTTTGGTTACAAAGTTCTGCTGTTCAAGTCCTATAATTGCTGTGTCGAGAATACCGACTAATTTGTCAAACGAAATTTTTTCGTTTTCAATAACCTCTGTCACTTTTTCACTATCGGAAGCGAATTATAATGATGAGGAAATTGTTTTAAATCATATCAAAGACGGAGCACATCGAGATGAAAATACTACATTTGGTAAGGGAATTATAAGCCAAATAAAATAAAAAACATCTGCCCTGAAGATAAGGATAGTGCTGACAGATCAAACTTCCAATTCCTTGCGCGCCGCGGCGTTCCTCCACCGAGCAGCGTGAAATTGATAAACAGATTTCGGATTTCGAAACATACTTTCGCTTTAGATCCTTTACATATTAACAAATATATATCGTAAATTCTATTTGATATAATCAAAAGTTTAAGCTTACTTTTATAAAATTGCTCTAACAGTCAGCAAAAAATAATAAGCCGGATCCAATTCGAAGATTAAGTAACAACGAAATCTGCAACATTAACTGAATTAGATAATTTTAGCTTAGCTTACACCATCCGTTATACATTAAACGCGCATGCGTAAACGTTTTATGAGCATGCGCACAAGCATATTCGTAGCCGTAAAGGTATTACGCGCGCACGTAAACGCCTGTGCGCATGCGCAGAAAGTTTGTAGCTTTGTGGTCCGGATTATGGGTGTCTGAATTAACGACTTTTGATACTTGTATTCAGTCCTAGGAGAGGTTCAGTAAACTTCCCATACACCCATGAACATAATACTGAATCCTAAACAACTTGTGAATTAATCATAAGCAAATTATTGCATCATAAACTATTATAATGTAAAGAAATTCTGTCATCTTACAGAGTAGAGAAGGAGAAGCCTGATGCTGCCATCTATTGGCAAGGTACCCTCAGTAGGGACACCAGTATATATTATATACCAGGATTAAAAACGTGTATATAATATTGTTTTAATTATCAGTTTTGATTGAAATGCAGTAAATATAAAAGGTTCAGCACATGTGCATCATATATTTGAAGATTGTGAATTTTTTCCTACCCTCCAATGGAATTTATGAATATTCAAACATGATACCTTTGAAAGAGGTATATTAATATCATAACTGCAAAATATTGAGCATTCATAGGGTAGGTATTTAGAATCAAAAGAAAACAGTAGAAACTTATGATTACATCTTTTGGTGTAGAAAAATTAGCTATTTTGAGGAAGTTAAAAAATTGACAGACTATATAACGGTGGCCTTTCAAAGACTGTCATTTTTTTTTTTTTTTTTTTTTGGCATGTGTGTCTGTATCTATGCATGAGTCAGATAACTCAACTAAGGGTTGGTTGCTTTCGTCCTTTTTAATGGTCTATAATTCAATATTGTGTGCAAAACCATGCAAGAAATCTATAGTTTTGTTTGATCATCAAAGACAGTGGTGATGTGTTTCTCTTGTTCAACATATTCCTTAAGAGTTGGCGAAAGAGATCTCCTCCAAACAATATCATCTGTCCTTTTCCTTCTAAGCTCACCAATTATTGTGTAAATACCAACATGAGATTCTCCAACAAGTATTTCACAATGTCTGTGCCCTGCTTCAACTCAATTTTGTGTTTTTGGAATATCAAGATTTACTCAATTAAACATGGATGAAAATTTGAAGAAAAGAAAGGAGGATTTTGAGTAATGTTAAAATTTCTCATATTCTCCCTAATTTTATTATGTACATAATTATCATCAAACTACTGTACAAATGCATTTGTTTCATCAGAGAATTAGAGACTTTATTTCATCCAATGCCCATGGAATATCATTAGATAGAAGAAAAGACTGTGTTGAAATTTCAAAATAAAACTTTTACCTTCACCATATCTTTTAGCAAGCCCCGATACCTCAATATGGGGCCAGACACTTTGTCCTAAATGAAATTCATACTTTACCAAGGCATCTGGGTGTTCGTAACTAGAAGAATTAATTACTGCATTTTTCGAAATTACTGCTAATGAAATGAAAATTTAACTCTGGTTCTTTTTACCAGAAAAGTCCTTCAAATATTGAAATAAATGAGCATAACAATTCTCTGATTTGCTGGTCATTAAAATGCTGCACCAAAATGTTAGCAAGAAGAAGCACTCTGGCATTTTTGCCAGTTAAATGCCCATTCATTACCCAATAAAAGACTACTTTCAATAGCACAATGCCCCTCTTTTTTTTTTCTTTCAGTCATGAACAAAAGTATATATTCATTGTTAAAGGATGAATCATTTATTAGAAATTTTTCATCACAAATATTCCTAAGTTTTAATGGAATATCAGCACCTTCCAAAATAGCTGGCTGCAGAGGCAAAATTTCCTTAAGAGTTCCTTTTATAACTTGACACAGAGCATGGCAACTAGGCACTACAAGACTGCTTTGTGACAACATTTGTTTCGTCTTGAATAATGTGCTCTGGTGTGTTGTGAGTTTGGTAGGGCTTTCACTTAGTATTATCTACTGCTAAAGCAACTTCATTTTTTTTTTAACCATTAAGGTACATGATTATGTTCTCTTTGATGATGTTGTCCAGCTACAAATATGGTGCTTGCATACCCACTATATGTTTTGTAGTTTTCACAATTTTGCACTTCTCACATCACGAATAAAACAAATCACCTCTATTTCTCTCTTTGTATATCAAATAACTATTAACAACTAGTAATTTTTAAAGGTACAATTTTGCACACTTGAGCTATTCCTTAAAACTAATATACATGTTAACTCCTAATGCATCCAGCAAATCCATGGCAAATAATGAAAGACTAGGTCTTCTCTTAAAATTACTTATTGTCAAAGTCAGTATATAAGATTAAACAAAATTATTAGCCTTAACTTGATCAAGAAAATCAGTTAATAAGTAAAAATTGCATATCAGTTCATTTTTATTAAGGAATTAAAAATATATCGGCTTATGAAGTACCAGGTACATGGCAAATTTGGTAACTTCGTTCCAAGGTAATGATTTTATTCTGGTAACATTACTTTCGTTGTTTGTGATCATGACCAGTATTTGTTAACAAGGTTGTACAATTCTGATTTTTCTTTAATGAAAACAAATTGCTGTGTATATGGAGAGAATAACACAGCTTATTTGTTTAATATCTCATATTATCCTTATTTAATAAACAAAATTTGTATTTAAACTGTCCAAGTTTATTTTTTTTTCATATGTGGATAATGTTTGCAGACTTAAAATGAATATTGATACTTTGGCGATCTTTTAAAAATTTATTGCCAAAATTGCCAGTTTGCATCTGATAATTTTTTGCTTCCATGATTTTATCTAAGGTAATAGCTTTGAAACTGCCCCTCAGCAAATAGCAGTTCATAGGTAATTAATAGGAAATAACCACTTAAACACAGCAAACATGAATATCTTGTATATGATAGAACTGACTGAATGACAGAAAATATGATAATGAAAATGAAAATTCCTGTCTTCAAATTTAGAATATTACACTACCATTTATAACTTAAAAATAGTGTTTCTTTAACTTTGTTATAAAATGTTAACTCCTGATCAGCACAATAAGACAAGGATACTATGTAGTTAAAATGGTGACCACATAAGCCTTTGTCAACATTTCTGAAATTCACTCATTACACATTACGGTGATTAAGTTTGCAAATTTCGGCAACTAAGCACAGGTCATTATTTTAATAAAACAGACCTTTAAATTCAGAAATTATGACAATCATTCACTTAAAAGATTTCACGATACAAATTATATGAATATATGCGAAGAAAATTTCTAGTTAGCTATTTCTGTATGTACAGAAACTATAGTAACGAAAGAAAGTAACGATTGCTATCAAATAGTAATCGATCACGTTAGGAAACATAAATCTATAACAAATATATATTTTACAGCAAAATATCAATAATATTTGAACGATAAATAAATGCATTGGAAAACCTACTTTTTTCCCAGCAGCTCTCAATGAAGATAGCATGATGAATTAAGAATGTAACAATCCCGTACAATATAATTTAAAATATCAATAATGGAAAACTTGACTTTTTACAATCTACTTTTCTTTATTAATGGCAAAGCCTGATACTTCCAGCTTCCTATAATCAAATTGTGATATATGTATTTATTTATGGAAATAAACTTTTATTGCTGCTATTCAGGTAGTTCGCACAAAGAGAGGGAAACAAACACGAGGAGTTACGGGATTTTCTTGGTTGCAGGAATATCTGTAAATAGTGTTCGCGCCAAGTTATTTAAGAAGTGTCTAGAACCTGAGCAAACACCCTCATAACCAAGGAGGTTAGAATGCTCATAACAGGTTTTTCCTCCTTCTGGGGACGGGAAATGAAGGAAAAAAGAGATTTTCATTATTTAGGGAATTGCAGGGACTCTCTGCAATAAGAAATTTTAACTTTTTATATTTTTTAACTTTTTATATTTTTTAGCTTCCTGTAAAGATGAGGTGGTCTTCCGCCTATATAAAGTGTCGAAAAGATCACTTTGAAGAAAACGTATCTGCTATATTAAAGAACCTCGTCTGCTACCACTAAAATGACTAAAAGCAGCGAAAATCATGATGCCACAATCTATCTTAGCACTAAAATCAACGAAGCCCTCAACCACGCCAAATTTATTCCAAAACGGACGAATTATACGCTTCCACACAATATTAGACAGAAAATTACAGAGAAAAATAAACTAAGAAAAATTTATCAGCGATCCTACTCCACCCAAGACAAAAGGAGATTTAATTAATGGTGCCAATCGAAACCTCAGAAAACTTATCCAAGAGTACAGAAACAATTACGGGGATAACTTCATTGAAAGTCTTTCGCACACCGACCATTCTGTGTGGAAAGTTGCTAAAAGCTCTCCGAAGCACTCCCTCCAATATTGGACCCGATTCTGGATGATAATAATACCAAAATTTACGATCATAAGAAAATTGTCAACCTTTTCGCTGATAACTAACAACACTAAAACAGTTACTAGTTTAATATAAATAATTTCCCACACCCGAATGATATTAATATTATCAATCACGTGACCAATTTCCTCTGCAAAGATCCTGAAAATCAAAACAACCCGACTTCTCCCAAGGAAATACAGAAAATTATAAAGAAACTTAATCCAAAGAAAGCATCTGGATATGACAATATCACTAATAAGGCCCTGCAATACCTCCCAAGGAAAGGCATCATCCTTATTACGAATATTTTTAACGCATGTTTAAGACTTAATATATTCCCAAAAAAATTGGAAACACACCATTCTAACTGTCATTAAAATGCCTGGCAAAGCTGGAAATGTCACAAGTAACTTTAGATCGATCAGTCTTCTGCCTGCAATTGCCAAACTTTTCGAAAAGCTTATTTTCGACTCACCACTTTTATTAATGAAAATAACATCATCAAAGACCATCAATTCGGATTTCGCCAGGGATTCTCAACGACTCAGCAGATCTCCCGAATCAGAGAATCGAATCCCGAATCATAGAATTGAATCTTAGAATTGATCTTAGAATAGGTGAAAATTTTAATAAAAGGAAGTAGTTGCTGCTATTTTTATGGATATAGAGAAAGTCTTCGATAAAGTTTGGTATCACGGTCTTATCATCAAGCTGGTAAACTATAATTTCCCACCTGCCATCATCTATCTAATCGCTGATTTTTTAAAAAAACAGAACTTTTCAAGTTAAGATAACTACTCCACCACAAGAAAAATTCACGCGGGTTTACCGTTAACCAGAGAACAGGGGCTCCATTACCTAGCTGACATGATGTCTGCCTACAGTTAAAGCCCTGCCCGAAGTATTTATATGATAGCGATCCCTCGCGCCTACAGTTAACCACTAAAATGAATTTAGTACTGATTGAAGATATCCCAAGACTGAGATTTAAAATAATCAACTCTCTCGATACACATATGGACCCTAAGATCCTAAATATATGAACCCTAGAGGCAGTCAACATTGCAAATCGAAAGAGTTACTAGAATTCACCACAAAGAGCTTTGAGTTTACATTGGCATACAAGGCCTTCAAGAACACAAGAACATAAGTAACATAGTCATAATAGACCCTAAAGAAAGCATGTGTTACAAGTAGTACCTATAAGCATTTTTCAAAACAATTTCAAAACTGAGTCCAACTAATTTTAATAAAAACTATGGTACAAACAAAATATAATACATCCATTACTGTATTATACACAATTAATATCAATTAGATTCACAATTTCAAGAAGAACCATTCAATTTAGAAAAAAAATGCATAAAGATAAACTAAGACAATAATAAACTGCCAAATAAAATTTTTTCATATGAATTCAGAATTAAGAACCAATAACTTTGATAACTGAACAATATTATCATAAAAATACACTGAACCTGAGATATATTACAATACAAAACATAAATTTGGTTTAAAAACAAAACCACTCCAAGTAATATAAAAACTCTACATCAGGTTTGCTGGCAACGCGATAGAAATACAGTACAAGAATAATGCCAACATAAAGATATGAAAAATTTCCAATTCCAAAAACCACATTCATTCAAAAAAAGTCAAACATTCAAAAATAAGTCAAAGAAATTATTATAAAATACTGCCTTAAATGCACATTTTACAATAGAGAACTCAAGTAAAACCAATCAAATTCACAAAAAACAGGTCAACTATTCAATTCAGAAAAGTGCAAAAAGGTATACAAAATAATTATTCTAGATTAGGTTTGCTGGCATCGCTAAGACAAATGCAATACTAGAAAAATGCCGACATAAAATTTTACAGAATTTCAAAATCAAATACAAAATGCATTCAAGATTAAAGTAAAGAATAATATAAAAATAACTATCATGAATGCAAATTTTATAATAGAATGCACAATTAATGCCTATCAAGTTCACCAAAGTGAATCAATTCAATTACAAAAGAACGCATTAAAATATGCAAAATAATAAAATTGTCACAAAAATTTCTGTTAAATTTAATTAACAATTACAAACTGAACAAAATAATCATGATATATATATGATTAAGAACGATTTCAGTACCATACAACAAATACTATGTGCGTCACAAATAAAACCGACTATTTGTACAATATAAGAAAGTAATAGGCTACAAGTAACCGTTACAATTTATAAGAGCATAGATGCATTCAATGTCAGATACGTCTGTTCTACGTAAAACCATTTCTAATTTTAAATCAGTAACATAAGTAGTGGAAACAACAAAACTGAACAATAATAAGCATCATCAAACACACAAGTTAAACAATTACCATTATACAGTAAAAATCTAACAGTCGCTGAAAGTTAATTACTCACTCCCAATAGAGATGATCTGAGAGAATTATTTACAGAAAAATTTAATTCCTGACAGAAAAGCATAATTTCCTTAAATTTCTTACTCTCACTAGAGTTTTTTAATATCAATTCAGCCCATTTTGGCCTGTGTGTTGATCTAAAGGTTTATTCAAGTGAAGGTTTTTAGTAAATGGACAGTGAAAGATAAAGTGTTCAGGGTCTCCCAACTCCCCGCAAGAACAAAGCTCAGTCGTACGTAGTCCAAATCGAAAGAGATATGTATTAAAAGGTCCATGACCAGTGAAAAATTGAGTATAAAATTCGATGTGCTTCTTTGACTGAGTGAAACTTTTGGAAAGAAGAGAAGACTCGTCTTCCTGTGGAGTCATTAGTCCATCTTTCCTGCCATTTCACAAGCAGTGTATTTTAAAGTCTCGCTCTTCAAGTGTGAAAAAGGCAATTTCGTTGGATTTTCAATTCCGTTGATATCATTAGCAGCCCATTTAGCTAAAGTATCTGCTTCTTCGTTGCCCAGTATGCCAACATGAGCTGGCACCCAGGTAAGAAGTGGTCTTTCAGATGAATTAAATCTTAGCAATTTCTCTTGAATAACTTGTACAATCGGATTTCTATTCGTAATGTCTGAGATAGCCTGCAGACTAGATAATGAATCACTGAAGATCTTAGTCTTGCCCGATAGATTTCTTTTAACATAAGTGAGAGCAGCGTTTATCGCTAAAAGTTCTGCCTGAAAAACAGTATTTCTGTCATCAAGCCTTCGAGTCCATGTATATACCTTTTGAGTATTGTTAAATACACAAAATGCACAACCTGTTCCCAGTTCAGTTTTAGAACCATCTGTAAATAGAGCAATGTCATTGGCTACTGGAGCCGTATAGTATAAATTGACTGCAGATTTGAGTTTTAAAGAGGCAGGATGGCCAAGATTAGATGGAACCCGTAGTTCATAATCATTTACTAGGTGATGTTGGTTCCATAAATCCCCATTCAATCGTAATCGTAGGATCCGTCCTAAGAAAGAGTCTCTTTGAGCCTGCAGATCTAATGGAGGTATACCCGCCAAAATCTGCAGTGAGGCTGTCGAGGTTGTTCTATAACCTTTGGAAATAAGTAATAGCTGAAGCCTCTGTATTGAATTCAGTAAGCCGCTCATAGTTTTGTTCATATCAAAACCCCAAATGGAGACTCCGTACAAAAGAACTCTTTCAGTGATTGTTTTATACCACAGCCGCAAGATTTTTGGGGAAGTACCCCAATTAAGGCCCATAGTCTTTGTCATGCCATTCGTAAGAACGGCACATCTCTGTTTAAGATGTTTCACATGTGGAAACCAAGACAGCGTATTGCTGATAACAAAGCCTAAATATTTCAAGGTGTTTGCACATTTTATTGGCCTTCCATGGATTTTTATAGACGGATTTCGACGCATTTTTCTTTTCCTACCGATAAACAACATAGTAGATTTTCTTCGGAAATTCTTGATTTATGCATGTCTGCCCACTCTACAAACTTATTAATCGCTTGTTGATCTCTTACTTCAATGTCTTTTACGCCTGAGATAATTAACAGAAAATCATCGGCATAAGCTTGCAAAGTTACTTGTTCAGTATTTTCAAACATACCAAAGGCCGTATTAGCGACTAAGTTCCACAGGGTTGGTCCTAAACAGGAACCCTGTGGACAGCCTCTTTGTAAAATCTTTTATTAAAATTTCATTATCCAGGGTTAATTGAATTTTGCGTTGTTCCAAATAATTTTGAATTAAATTCAAAATTTCTACAGGGCAGTTTGCGCTATCCAATGCATCGATTATGTCAGGCCACCAGACCGTGTCAAATGCACCACGTATATCAATGGAGATGATTAACGTGTGCCTGTTACCATCCCTGTTGCGTTTTACTGTAATTAGCAGATTAATAACAGCCATTTCAGTTGAAACCCCTTTTTAAATCCAAATTGAAAGTCGCTGATCACTTTATTTTCAGTTAGAAAATAATTTAGTCTGTTCAATATTAATTTTTCAAAGAGTTTATTTAAAGAAGAAAGAAGACTCACTGGTCTATAAGAAGACAAAATAGCAGGATCTTTACCTTTTTTGCCCAAATAAAAACTATTTCGGCAATTTTCATCTGCCGTGGAAATAAAGCCAATTTCCAACATGCTCGATATAAAGATAACAACAATTGGGGGGGAATTCTTTGAAAAGTATCTTATGATAATATTATCAAGACCGTCTGGTCCGGGGGCCTTCTTAGACGGTAGAGAACGAATTGTATTTTCTAACTCCTCAAGCTCCAGGAGGGGCAGAGTCACTTAAAAGTAGAATTCCAAGTTTGATTTTTAAATTTTTCTCGCATTACTTTATGTAAATCCATATCGTCAATCTCCAAATCCAATGG